CAAGTCCGGGACTGATTTACCGGCACGGCGAGAGTGAGTGATGGGCCGCGAGAAACAACAGCCTTCACGTGTTACATAAATCCAGCTGGAAAGTGCCAGCACGATGCTCTGCTTTACGACGAGGTAACGATTGAATGGCGCCCGAATGGGGCACGCATACCGGGCGACAAACCGAGATTAGTTTCAGTGGCGGCGTCAGAAGGCGTGTCGCAGCTCGAGCGTGAAATCGGGAACGACAAGGCGCGTGCATCGCCTCCTCCACCGGGATACGACACGTCGACGAACGCTACTCCCGAAGGAACGACGGGACTAATCACAATTTTACTCGCGGAGGAATGGGGGGATGGCTTATTATTCCGATACACCTGCCAAAGGGAATGTCGTCTACGCATATAAGAAACAAATTCAAATAAAATCTTAACTACGAGCAGAAGCGACGTAAGCGACTAATAAGACGAAAATTTCAGTTTTAAAGTAGAAATTTGATTTTTAAATTCTGACTTCTAATTCAGAAGAAAGTTTTCTAGAAAAATTTACAGCTCAGGATGTTTTTAAAGAAATCTGTATGACTTTCTGATTATAGTCCGTTAAATCAACTTTTGAGGTTGAGGAATCGCCCAAGGGTGGTACCCAAAAGTACCACCACTCATACAGTATAGTTGAGAAGACTGTAAGTTTAAAAAGAGTTAGTATTATATTGTGTTTGTACTTACAAGCTCTTGTAATAAGCTGGATTTAGGGTCATTTTTGCTTAGCACACCCTGTCGAGCGATATACGAACTTCTTTCATTCTGTTGCAAAATTATCTTACAATTTTATAATTGAAAATTACACCACTAAGTTAAATCATATATTTTTTACATTAAATTTTCTACAAAAAAACATGGTGTTATGAATAAATTACAAAGCTCTGTTTTTAACCAAAAAAAAATTGGGAATGAAAATTTTACAATCATCAACCACCAGTCTCAACAAAAGTGTAAGGTTAATTTCTATAAGACATTTCAGTGTCTGGCTTTTTAGTTTTTATATTCTGTAAACAAATGGATATTTCCAACAGAAAAGCAGAAGAAAATGTGACACCTTCATCTTTATTAATATTTCTATAGTCATTAAAAGACATACAGGGTGTCAATTTTAAAACTTGCAATCGCCAATATCTCTAGAACTAAAAAAGTTATTGAGAATCACTCAAAACCGTTTCGGTAGTTTTAAAAGGGAATCAAAATGGCATGGTAAGTTACGCTCTTCCACCCACCCTTCAAGCCACAGCCACCTTAAGTTGAAAATTTTAAATGGCACGACCCTACTTGCGATACATCGTTGTAAAGCTCATAACAAGAGCTTTTCAAAAATGTCATACAACAGCCTATTTGGTAAAGTTATTTTTCCAACTATTCAAAAACGAAGACGTTAAATTTTCATTTTTTATACTATATTCAAGGATGGGTGGAGGTGTGTCACTTATCATGTCATTTTAATTCCCCCTAGGAACCACCAAAACGGTTTTGAGTGATTATTAATAACTTTTTCAGTTGAGAGAAATTGCCGATTGCAAGTTTTAAAATTGACACAGTGTATAACTTGTTCAATGCCCCGCCTTTACGTGGTTACCAATGAAAAGCTGTACTTAATCGAATGAAGTTACATTGTTACATTTTTGAAATGTCACGTTGAAATTAAAGTTTAAATCTAAATTTGTAAGTCCGTAATAGGACTGACTGTAAAACATGCACCATAATTTAGAAGCTGACAACATAAAATTTCGGAAAAAATTGTTCAGTGTATTTTTTGCTCAGATACGATTGGTTTGCTAGTTACTTAGAAATTAAAATGGGCGGAGCATTTATCTTCTTAGGATTAGAACATTTTACATACTCCTACATGTTATGTACTATAGTTAAAGTAAAAAAGCATTTGGAAGTTAAGTGCCATTGTTTGTCGTCGCTGTATTATAAAATATCTGTCTTCATTACCGAAATTTTTAAGCAATTTCAATGACAGAGTTTTGATTTAGAGATGCATTCTAGAATTCTTACAAAGTTAAATCATAATTGAAAATTATATCAGAAAGTTGAGTCCTTAAATTTTAACATTAAAGTTATAAAACTTCAAAGTGGTAAATTACAGAATTCTGAGAGAAGTGACTAGAAAAAAATTAAAAATTTGACTTCGAGATTAGAATTATCAATCAAACTTTAAAACTTGGAAATGTCGATGTATATTTTCGGAACAAAGTATGTTGGGTGTTCCCAGGAACACTCAAGAGATATAAAATTAGTCTTTTTTTAATTACGCTAATCTTTGTAAATTGGGGCACTATATTTTTTTCAATACATAGGTACCACTTACTAATATAAAAATTATATGGAAGTGCAATTGTGGTAGTTGCTGTTTTATGAAAAATCTTTGCCAATTAATAATTGGCCTTCGTCCAAGTGGTTCTCCCCATTTCTTAAAAATCCTCTGAATAAGCTGCATTTAGTTGTTGAAAGTGGGCTAGGAGGCACTATGGTCGAATTGCTTTGAAACTCAGCCATTATTTTCGTTTTCTGCTAATTATCAATTTGAAAAATTTCCAAAGAAATGAAACAGAACTGGAAAAGCGTATCTCTGGCAAACCTACCAAACTCTTCCTCAATATATCACTCCGTTAATAAAATATTTTATTCCTGGACAAGATACAACTTTAATAAGCAATTTAAAAAGAGATAAATCCTCAAAGCCGAAACGCCCACTTAATCGTGACTAATAAATTTCCTCGTTTCATTGTTTTTTTTCTCAACTAAGACAATAACTCACGTCAAATTTTTCCGAATAATGGCCACGCGACTGTTATTTTAGATTTGTTTCTATTATTTCGAAACTGTTTCTCATAAATTCACGCAACAATTTCATTTCGGGCGACTTGACAGGATATGAAAATAAAGCCGCGAGACACATCAAAAAGCGTCAAATCCGGCCAAAGGCTTCGTATTCCGTTTTATCTCACAAAAACTGCTAAATAATGCAAAATTTCGGTCCACGTCTGAATCAAAAGTATTATTATTAGATCGAAGCGCTGAAGGAATAATAAACAATAGGAAACAGAAGCGGAAATAATAAAAACGCCAACAAGAAGGCCAGATCGTCATAAATCCCGCATTATGATTTATTAGACAATAAAGCGACAATCCAGGGCCGGATTTGTTGTGTTTGGGTCACCTGTGCGGCAGATTTCGGTCCGAGTTTCCTCATTAAATCGGCGTATTGTCTTCGCGAAATCTGTTCCATCTGTTGAACACATGTCGAGGGCGCGTCGTCTCTTGATTTAAACCAGATCTTCGGGTAACAATAACGTATTGTGTCCCCGGATCATCAGTTAATGAATAAAATATTCACGTAACAATGTAGATCAAAGGGAGATCAGTGGCGAAGATACTGTCCAAACAGGCCTTTATAATGTCAGTCCGAGGGCATAAAACAAATGAAAACGACCTTTGAATGTGTGCTCATTCAAAGGGGTTTTTGTGAGAAGGCGGACGATAACTCTGATTGGATTTTTTCCGTTATTATTTTAAAAAGTTGAGAAAACAGAGTTGTTTATTTTAGAGCGAGGCTTTGATACACTCGGAGGCTTTATTGTTTTAAGAGTTTAATATGCACAGGGGCCACCAAACTGAATCGAATATTTCCATTAGACTTATGTTGATGTACTTTTCGGGAACTTTGATCTCTCTACACTTCATTGGCGTACTTTATTCTTTATAGTTTTCCTGATACATTATAAACTCTTTCTGTTTCACGTCTATTCACAGTTGACGTCTGCACCAATTTTATGTGTCCCACGTGTATATACAAAGACATCCACTCTATTTTTTCCCGAAACACAAAGACCACTTCACCTCTCTTCCGAATGGTAAAGCGTTCAAACGTATTACGTGATACGAAGGACTTATTAACCATAAACACTTTAAACGATCTAACATGACTTCAAAAGACAGTTTCTGAACACGCCAGAATAACAACACAACAAAAAGCAATTCCTGCAGAGATGATCGACCTCCTGCTGGATTCACAACACCACCCGTTCTTGTTCTTAGCTGGTCGAGTAATTAACACGCACCGGAAGTGATATATCATGGCGTAATAATGACCGACACCAGAATATCTCTCTACTGTCCTTTCGATTTGCTCGTGTTCTCAACGCCAACGCCAACACTATCAAAACTAGAGGAGAGGCTCCCAAAGTGGATCAACTGATGAGCTTTATTCAGCAGCACAATCATTTTTTCTACCTCACAAATTTGATTTCTAAACAAAGATAATTAAACTTATCTTAAACATCTGTCCAGAATTAAATGGAAAACAAGTTTTTACTTTTACATCATAATAAAAGAGATCTAATAAAGGTTTTAATAAATTGGGAGGATAAAGTGGAGCTTTTGATTCGTAAAGTAAACTTAAATTCTTATGTTATAAAATTTCTGAGACAAACAATGAATTTTACGTTTATTGTCTCACAAATCTTGAATTTTAAAATGGAATCTTGAGGAGTAATATTCGAAAGTCCAACTCGGGAGTTCTAGCAGATTATTTGATTATGTAATTTCTGTAAATTTTTAGACTTTTGGTTTTGGTGAATCTTACTAATTAGTATATAAGTATTAATAAACGGACATTAATTTAATAACATTCTATAAAAATATTGTAATTTGTATTACTTTAGCTTTTATTAAAAATTAAACTCAGTTCATTGTGGGACTTCTCCCCTATGTGAGTATTGCGTTGCCACCTCATCTTGATTCTCTTGAAAATTCCAAAATATGCACAAGAACTGCAGTGAATGGAAGATAAAATTGGCTTCTTGCCGACGTATATTTAGTAATCGTAGGCGGCTTGGCAACCTGCGAATATTTGGAAAAAAGGAACATGGAGAATAACAGATGAACAATTCTTAGATGTCTTCAGCTGCTCCTTTGTCTCTTCGTTATTTCTAACAGTAAAATTTTCTTTTGCAGTCTCAAGGCACCCAACAATTAGTCAATGAAACCCACAAACAATTGGAGTTCCAAAGACGACAGCAGGAACAAATGCTGCAACAGCAACAAAAATTGCAAGAACTCCAAGGCCAAATTACGGCACAATACGCCGCCAGTGGCGTGGGGCCACAAGGACTTATGTTCCTCCCGTTTTTGGAGCAACTACGAGGACTCCAGCCTCCCAAATCTCTTGCCAATCACGTAGGAAATTACCCCTTTTTAAGTGATTTTTTTAAATTTGCATTTTTAGATGCTGCCCCCTCACCAAGTCCCCAGTTGGATCTCCGCGACCGCCCATTTGGCTCACATGTCGGCCAGTTCAGACAAAAGGTCGCCCACCCCCCAACGGACCCCGTCGCCACCAGCGCCGCCGACAGACCCCGACGCCCCCCTCAATCTCACGAAACCGAAATCGTCGAGTTCCGGATCGGCGGGATCGAGTCCGCAAAGTGCCCCAGCCGGCCTGCAGACTTTCAACGATCAGCCGGTGGCGGCCACCGCCCCCAAACTTCTACCTCCCAGTTTAGTTATGCCTAGGGCGTTTTTGCCCTACGCCGGATTGCCCCCGCAGTTTAGTCCGCTGCCGGCGAGCGTCGACCGGAAAGGGAAAGATGAGAAGCAACCTCATTTCCCGATGCATATGTACGGGTTGCCGGCGCCCCCGCACATGGGGGGCAGGCCCAAGGACGACGGGGGCATCAAAGACGAGACAGATTTCATGGCGGCGTGTCATAGTAAGTAAATTCCCATTTTCTTGAAGATAGAATTTTCGGAAAAAATCAGAAAAACGTAAATATTCAGGCTGCATTGTGCACAAATGTCGTTCACTTTTCTGAAACATGTATGTAGGTACAGACTGGATTATAAAAAAAGAAGATACTTGTCTGATCAAACTTGAACAGTTTATTGTGAGCAATTTTTTGGGATAGATGCTCGATAAATACAAAGAGATGACAATAAACTTTGCAACTTTATTCCAAGAAGTAAGTATTGTCATATTTTTAAAAATAATGGAGTTACGGCTTGGAGTGTTTTTTATAATTCAGTCTGTATCAATAAAATGTCTACACAAAAACGGACTTTTTGATTTAGAAATGTTGAGAGTTATGTTTGTATACATATGTATAACACTTTTAAGAGAAAAGCTTATATCGCTATTATCAAAAAAGATTTCTTAATTAATAACCTCTAATAAACATATTTCTGTTTTTAAAAGTATCAGACTTTAGAAAAAATCGTGATTAACATGTTTCTATTTCTGTTAGAAGTTACGACATAGTCACATTTTTTGTCAAATTTAGAAGAAGATTGCGTCTGAATTCTGAATTACATATTAGAACTTCGGGTTTTTTAGAAATGTGCTAGAAAATATCGTAGTTGTGACTGCAATTATATAAATATGAACCTCAATCATAAGTGAAATTTCTAGTTGATTCTATAAAAAACTTTGATTTTTTGTTTTAAATTTCCTCAAATTCAGTGAAAAATTTTACGAAAACATTAGACATTAAAATTCTTATTGAACTGCAATAAAATTTATACATAAAACTCGAATTTTCGTTTTCCAAATTTTTAAAGTTACCTACATAAGTGACAGACTTTCGATTTAAAATTGCAAAAATGCAAAATTTTTAGAAATGTAGTTTCTGATGACTTCAGAATTCTCAAATAGAGAATTTTTAAATCTATATTTTTTTTTATAAAAAACAGACTTCTGAGTAACTTGAGTAACATGAACAAGTATTAGAAAACACTTCGAATCTTCCCTTAAAAGTACAAAAAGTTGAACAACTATTCCTAGAGCAATTATTTATAACACACATTATTATTATTACACTTCTTTAGCCCGGCAGTCAGACAAGATTCACCATTACGGATAATTGTATTTACTAATAATGTTGATGGAAATAAGATTAATGTAAGAAATCCCTAAATTCCCCAATTTAGCGTCAGAACATATCTTCCGCCTCGCAAAGTAATTAATTATTATTAATTAAGTTTATATTATTATATTATTATTATCATTGATGTTATTAAAATGAATTTCGTTAATATTGAGACATTTCCTAACATATTACAAGTTTTTAAAGGGATTGCTTTTTCAATCTTAAAAATTAAATCTAAATTTAATTTTAAAAGTTACTTTTAAATCGGAAGGTTAGATTCAAACGCAGTGTAAGACTTTAATAAGGCATTAAATTTCAGATTGAACAATAAGAAAGTTATTTTGGTTTAGGAAAAGTTGGTAGTTAAATTTTTAACTTTGTAACATTAAATCTTCTTTTAGTTACTCGTAGTGTTTCTGCTTTTATTAAAATTTGTGGGTACCTAACTTAAGACATACCTACAGATAAAAAAACCTTTACCTCCCCTAAACTAGAAGTATGAAATCTATTCTAAAGGGAGTATTTTTTTTCCTTTATCTATAAACTTTTTTGTTTGAAGTTGTCTTTAGTGTTAGGAAAAACGTAAACTCGAAAAGAAAGGCTTTTTCTTCTCTTATTACACAAACAAATATTCCTTCATATGATACCAAATTCATAATAATATTTTCAATAGTCTTTGACATAGAGTGGTAGACATTGGGGTTGGAAAAAGTAAAATATTATAGTTACAATATTTTTTCTTTTCTTTTAGTGTGGGGCGGCCCCGATCCGAACTTCAAACTCGACGAAAACTCCGAAAAAGCGAAAATTATCCGCCAGCAGCCCAAACGCGACTCCGAGAACAAACCCCACATCAAACGCCCCATGAACGCCTTCATGGTGTGGGCCAAGGACGAACGCCGCAAAATCCTTAAAGCCTGCCCCGACATGCACAACTCTAACATATCCAAGATCCTCGGCGCCCGCTGGAAATCCATGTCCAACGCCGAGAAACAGCCCTACTACGAGGAACAATCCCGCCTCTCGAAGCTCCACATGGAGAAGCATCCCGATTACCGCTACCGCCCCCGGCCCAAGCGCACATGCATTGTCGACGGCAAGAAAATGCGCATCTCGGAGTACAAGATGCTGATGCGGCAACGACGCCAGGAGATGAGACAATTGTGGTGCCGCGACGGCGCCTCCGATATGAATTTCTCACTGTCGGGAGCCGACCTGGGGGCGGCGACGGCCACGAGGGCCGGCTCCCCGATGGGGATGGTCAACGGCGCGGGGCCAAGCGCCGAAGGGTTTTATTACCCCGAGGGGGCGTCACCCGATGCTCTCAACTTCGCACAGGACCACGTGATGATGCACGACTCGAGTCCGAGGAATGAGGACGAATGAGTCTGGCAGAACGGGGAAAAACGGTTCCCTTGGTACTGAGCGGGAGGCTGAGCCTCTGTACAAAAGTGTATAGGTTTCGGGGGCAAGTGGGGTGGGGGCTTTAGGAAAGGCTGACAAGACCAAATGTGCCACAAAGAGGAAACTATTCATACTTTCGATTTTGTCTGATTTTTCGGAGAAGCAGGAATTTGAAATTTGACACGATGTAGTACTCGTAAATCTTAAATATGTATAGGACTATTTCGATTTTTTTGAAACTTTTATGTTGTCTATTCAACATTAATAGATAAAGGAATAAATTAGAAGGCAATTAAAGGAATATAAAAAAATAAAATCTAAACATATCGAGACTAGACATTTCTAAACCAAGGTGTTGATTACAGTATGATTACAGTATCTAATCAAATCAAATTTCTGCTCTGTGTATTCAGTGTCTCGTTAACCTTTTCTAAAGTTCTCACCCCATTTTGGAAACGCAAATAAAGGCAGTCATTTCTCGTGCCATCGAATGTGAAGCGACCTTACGCACTCGAAACTATTGGATTTATTTAAAAGTTGGTGTTGTAGTTGTACCTATTGTTATGTAGATATATTACTTTAGATCTTCAAGTTATTTATTATACTAGTTTTTAATGTTTTTTCTTTTTGTTTTTTATTTTGTAAATTAATGTAAAGTTTTATACATAGTTTATACATTGCATCGATGAGGAATCAGCTTTACTTTTTATCGAATTGTTTTATTTTGTTTTGTTAGTTTTTAACGATTCTAGTCTTCTCATTATCAAGCTTTAAAGTCAGGACAGAAATTCTTAATTTACTGAGTTTTGGTACAAATTTAGTTTCGAAATGTAATAAGAGGACTAGAGTTGAACGAAAGGAAAATCTTTAAATTAAAAGTGCAATGTACCTATCGTAAAAATAGATTTGTTCTCAACTGTTGATGTTTATATATTTTAATATAAGAGCCAGTACTTTAAGTAATTATTATTTATTTTCAACAGTTTTTTGTACTTGTACAGTGAAACTCATATTAAAAATTAAAATTAGTATGAAACTATGTACTTAGACATTAAAAGTTATCCCTCATATACATAACAATTATATTCAGAAAAGGTCAAAGTATAGTAATGTTAAGCCTCAAAATTTGGTATCTACAGTGACCCAATGCTGGTTATGCATTTGTTTCTTCTCTCCAATAAAAATTTATTTATGCACATGCAAGGTCATTGCAACAAAAAGTACCTACTACAATCATCTCGCAACTTGCGTGCCCATGAATAAAACCGTTTTCTTTCTTTTTTTTTCAACACAAAATGTGATACCTGTAATTAGGTATAGTGTAAATTTTTAAGTATTTACTCAGTTTTAAGTATGCACGACTATTATGAAAGAGTTACGAGAATGTGTAGTGCATTTAAAATATTCCATAATGCATCATAGGGCTAGTGAGTGTTTGTAAACAATACCATTCTCAGTGTAAAATTATATAGTAAGTCATATATCGCATCAAATGGTTACAACTGAAATGTCTACTAGGAAATAGGCTCACTGTTCTTTTCTGTGCCAAATTCAAATAAAACTATAAACTGTAAAAAGTCTTTCATTCATTCTGACTCTAAAAATATATATTTTTTTAAATCTATTAGATTTCCAAAATTTCAAACAGTTATACCACGGTGAGTCATTTATAATAAAGACCCTAATCGATTTTTCGACACAACCCAAAATACATTCTCACAGATAATGGCTTTTGTTATGTCTGCATTTCAGATCAAAGTAGTTGTTGATGTCATTCATTAAATTTGACAGTGTCAATTCCACTTTTTTTTCCTTAAATTCAAAATATAACTACTCAAACGACGAAAAAACTGACGTGATAATCTTGATATGTGAAAAATGGTACAAAAATGCTGTGGTTGAATCTGTACCGTCAAAGGTACACCGTAGGTCACCAATTTATATAATAATTTAATATAAAAACTGTAAAAGCTATTACAAGTATCTATGTTTATATTTTTGAAAAATCTCAACCAGTACCTACACCTATTACTTAACGCATAGTGGTTTTTGAGAATGTATTTTGTGTTGCTTCTGAAAATCCGTTAGGGTCTTTATTAATATATTATGTATGACCCACCCTGTATATTACTTTCCAAAATATACCTACGAGAACTCATTTTTTAATTTAGAATTTGGAAATGTTGAAAAGTGTAAATGTAGAAGTCTCAAAATTTGTGATATTTTCCGAAAATGTTCATGGGCCAAGAACCACGAATTTTTCAACGACTATTCTCACATTAATTAGAAATAGACATTAAATATTATCAAGGCCATATCGCGGCAGTTTCCAAGTTCACTGATGCTTGACTAAAGTCTCGTCATCAACAATGCCCACTTTTTTCTTCACTAAATGAAAACAGCAGGTAACAAAAGTCATCAGTGATATTTATATGATTTATGACAAGGAATGTGAAGGCCTTGACGCTTTCATGGAATCCACATATTTAATTCTTTTAAAAAAAATCGAAAAGGTTATTAGAAGATGTGTTTTTCAGCATTCCGGAGTCGTTGGTCTAGACTCGGATTTCTTGACAAGAGCATCAGGTCGATAAACTCACCTTGAAGTATGATTTTGCGTCTTATTAAATATACAGGATGATCGGAAAATATCACGGTGACATTTCAATTCATTTCCGTAAAAAAATCACATAAATTCAAATGATGAACGGTTCATCGGAAAACTGGTTTAGATAAAACCGTTCAGATGGGCAAAGCAAGGTCGAGGATTGCGTGCCGTTCCACTCGAATAAAAGCGCCTGGCAATGAAACTTTTTCCAAAAAAATCTACTAAGATAAAGTTATATTATAATCAAGCAGAAATTTGATCAAGATTTCGTTGAACATGTGTCTCTTTTGGTAATTTAAGATGCTGCTTTCTACAATTTCTCTTTACAACCTTCGAGGGAATATGAATCCAAAATCTTTCTTTCTTCTCCTGTTTGAACTGTAAGTACCTGTATTTAAAATATCTGGAAAATACAATGTATAGTCGTCACCAGGAATATTTGGGATTGACGTATGCAAAGCTTTATTGAGGGTTAAGCAACTTTGTGGTCGACCGTAATAATTTTTCGCTGCGTGTGGTACTACCCAGAAGATGTAGAAAAGAGCCGTATTCAGGAATTTTTGTGGTGAGCTTTTAATTTATTACAGGCAAACATTTGGGAATTAATATATTAATTTAATATTAAAGTGATAATGCAGATTTGTAAAGAAACAATCTCAAAATATAACTGAATATTAAAATTAATTTAATTTTTTTTTGATGAAAGCCCAAAAACAAATTTCTGTTACGGACCATCTCTTCCTACAAACCTTTGAAACGTGCCTGTCCTAAGAAATGCAAATTTGTTTATGGCATCTCTACCGTAAGCCACATGAACCACCGTGGGGGGTAAACGGCTTATTCTATAATGAGTCTCAAATATTGTTGGTGACGACTATAACTTACTTTTATTACTAAGAGTGAGTTTTTTAAAATTATTTTCTTACATTTTTTGATAACGCTGCAAATTCAGTTAAAGATACAAGAAAGTGTAAGGAACAAAGTTGTGTAATATTAAACTCTCTTCGAAAAAGTCTACGACATCATATTATCTGTCTATCTTCAGCCGTTTAGATTTAAATTGCTTCTTAACCACAGAACCATTGGTAAAAACGAAACTTCTGTCAGTAAAGCATCTTTGACTGTCTGTAGGACTGAAATCGTTGAAGATAGAGGTATGGTTCACGGACTTTTTTGAAAAAAATTAATTCTCTACAACTTTGTTCTTTACACTACTTTTCTATCTTTAATCGTATTTGCAGCGTTTTCAAGAAAGACAAAAATGTGAGGAAAAGCAAAAACATCTGTTTTTTTTTATTTTTAATATTGTTTTCAGTAAAATTTTTGCTATAATTTTATTCCTTACTGTGAAGTATTTAATGACCTATCTGCCAGTAATTTTTTATTGTCTTTTTATCGTCTTCATTTAAAAATAAAACTTTTCTTATTTTGTTACTCTTAAATTGTAGACACACTACTTAGACTATCAGTGCTATCATTGAATGACAATGGATTGACTTGTTTTTTCTTAAATAGAACATAGGGCTATGTTCATGTTCCTGTATGTATTTTCTCAAAAAAATTGTAAAATAGTAAGTTGTACAGTTTTTCACGATATATCTCGTGTCATAGCCATCGCTACTTCTGTCACTTTTCACATTTTGTGTATGAAATTCGTAGTGGAACTTTCTGGCTCAAAATTTGTCAGTAGGGTTCAGTTGTACCTCAGATTCTTCTTTTACACAGAAATCAAATGTTTCTGACCGATTTCACCTCAAAAAACGCAGTTGCGACGTTGGCAATGTGGTGATAGCAATGACACGAGATATAGTAGTAAATAATAATGTAGATGTTGATTTTATTTAAGTAAATCCAATTCTGAGATGACTGAAGAATAAGTGATTTGTCTAAAAAGGTATGGACATGATAATTATTGTTATGTATGTATTTTTTGAATTAGACATGCAATTTTCTCGTTTTTTAAATATAAAAAATTCTTAAATTACCTGATTTTAGTTTCTTCTTATAGTTTTTTTTTTATCAAAATTTATGAAAATTTATATTACTTGCTCAAAACTTTAATATCGACAGTGCAAAATTTGTTCAAAAAATATTACTGTTTCATTTCTATATTTTTACAAAATTTTAATTATTTTTCTCCTGACTTTTTTTAACATCTGCAATCTTTTTTCTAATTAAAACTACATAACTGTAAAATTTGTAACAAGAAACAATAAAATAATGAAACTGAAAATAGTGAGAGGATTTGGTGTTAACTTTTTGACCTTTGGAGCACACCTAGGCAGTGACATATGAATCAGTTCATAATTACGAGGTTTTATTAGATCACCTAAGTACAAATGTGCATCTTATATTTACATATACTTAACATAACTATAGGCATACGTCGGAGACTCTAAGACGAATCTAAATTAAATAAACGCGAAAAATTAAGTCAGCTATGTTATGAAAAAAATTTATTAGGTAATTTCTTACAGGATAATAACGAGTTTTAGGTAGGAATAAAATACAATAAGTATGAGTTCACAAAATGTTTATTAGGCTCTTCAATTTTCACAACCGTACCATCTGTCAGTGATTCCTCCAGCGTCCCTGAAGCCTCCATCAAAGTTTATTACCCTCTTTAACACCTCTTGGAATGCGAAGAAGTCTTTGCATCATCACCATCTGTCAGCGTGCTTTATTGGCATCCGGCCCACTATATCATTTCGATAATAGCCCCATCATGTCATGTTTCTAAAACCTGCTGTATTGGCGGTTAAGCTGCGCTTGCAAATAGACGTGGCTGGGCCTCCACATTTACCTTCACCATACACAAACGGCAATCCTTTGTTTCTCCAAGGTAACTATCGGCGCCCCCGCATTTTCCTCAAAAAACCGCATCTTCGCCGTTATTCCATGCGCACGAATAACCAGTTCGTGCCCAAATATAGGGCAATGGGTGAAAGTGAACAGGTGGTGCAAAAACAGAGAAAAAAGCCGCTCCATGGAAGTGGTAGAGTCATGGTTCGAGCTCGCGCCAGTTGTTGGGCGCCTTTCCTCGACTCAACATCATTCAAATTAAAATTTATCAAAAAATGTGTCTCTGAGTGAAGTGTCATTTTTTAGGTTATTTAAACGTCAAATAGTGAAATGTGTCAAAAATGTCAAATCGGAATTTTGGTGTTTTGCCTGATTAGTGGCGGAATTGCTCTTGAAAATGGGCTGGCGCGGACGCCCCCCATGGGATGGCTGGCTTGGGAACGCTTCCGGTGCAATACCGATTGCAAAAATGATCCCGAGAACTGCATCAGGTAAGTTAGGTTAGTTTGGAAAGGGCCCCTGTAACTCGACTTTTAGCGAAAATTTGTTCCGAACGATGGCTGATATCGTGACTTCGGAGGGGTACGCGGCTGCGGGGTACGAATACATCAATGTTGATGATTGCTGGCTTGAGAAAGAAAGGGACAGGTTTGGGCAACTTGTCCCGGATAGACAAAGGTTCCCTCGGGGGATGAAAGCACTAGCCGACTATGTAAATAGTTACCAATCCCCACTAACACTCCATTTACTCAAACCATTGATTAGGTGCACTCGAAAGGACTCAAATTCGGGATTTATGAAGACTTTGGTAACTACACCTGTGCAGGCTATCCTGGAGTCTTGGGTTATTTGAGAACAGATGCTGAAACTTTCGCGTCCTGGGACGTGGATTACGTCAAACTAGATGGTTGTTATGCCCATCCCAGTGAGATGGACCGGGGCTATCCCGAATTCGGGTTCTACTTAAACCAAACGGGGAGACCTATGATGTACTCCTGTAGTTGGCCCGTCTACCAAATCTACGCAGGAATGCAACCCAATTTCAGTTCAATCATTGAACATTGTAATTTGTGGCGGAATTTTGACGATATTCAGGACTCTTGGGCCAGTGTTGAGAGTATTATTGATTATTATGGGAATAATCAGGATGTGATTGTTGCCAATGCGGGACCAGGACATTGGAACGACCCAGACATGGTGAGTCTCATCAATTTTGTTTTAATGAGTGAAAAATCCCGGATTAATTTATCCAAGGCCGGAGGTTGAAGAACGGATTCTAACTATTATATGAAAACTGGCATTTAACTCGAACATGTGTTACATCATTGTATCAAAATTTCACTACATAACGCTTCGCAGATTTCACTTCCGATTACGCCGGTGGCTTGTTGTTTTAAATCCTTAAAGAACTATACAGGTTGTACCAGAATTCGATACATGGTAAAAACTCACTAAAATGTCAAATTCTTTTAAATTTCGCCAAAATTTCAGATCGCGACCTAATTGTCTTCCCTTTTATTTAAATAATCGTTTTTCCGAAATCTTGAAATTGGATCTCAAAGTACGGATTTTGTTTCTTATGCTCCTATTATTTAGTCACATTCACTGTTTTACATCTTGAGTTTTATCAAAATTTTTGATTTCGAAATTATTGTATTTGAATAGGACACGAAGTTTATTATTACTGTTTCAAGTTCTCGGTTCTCGAACAAAATTTTAAGATCAGTAGGATAGGTACTACAATTTTAAAAAATCTTGAAATTTTGTTTCAAGATAATTTCTTATGCCTTGAATTTTCTTAAAAGATTTGTCATGTCTTTTAAAAATGCTGCCTTCAAAGTTTGTCAAATGTTTTTTCCATTAGTCTTTTAATATTTCATTTTTTTTAAATGTGTCTTTATTTTAAAGATCTCAGGTTTTTATTTTAGAACAGAATTTTTTTTACATTTTTGAAAACAATTTTAATTTAGAAAGAGATAATTGATGGGGAAATGAAAAAAAGTTGACACTCTTATTTTATTATGAATTTTTGGCTATTTTATTGTTGTCCAACAACTAAAAACCGACAGCTTTTCTTAACTGTACCATTTTTAAAACGTCAAAAAATACTTAAGACAGTCAACATGGGTCACGTGAGCCGTTTTTACGACTAATCGACCAATCACACGATGAAGTAATCTTACGTCACAACCGCCAAGGTCGGTCAAATCGACCATAGTTATCTTGAGCCGATTTTGTACAACGCAAAACCGGAGAAAGTTTTAAAATTTGTGCATAATCCGAGTGTGGGAGAACCTTTTTTCCTAATTAATTCGTTTTGAATGTTCGAATTAATCTGATCAGGAAATCGATCGTAAAAGTCCTTTTTATTTTTTTTTGTAATTTTTAAATTCCAAATCGTGTGTTACGAATTATGCCATCCGTTATTTGAACCAGTTTTAGTAAATGTTGAAACAGTGCACGTTCAAAGACATGACCGGCCTGACACCTCACATATTACCAATTCCTTGCTATCAGAGACGGATTTAGAAACGGAAACGGTGAAAGTCGCATAAATTCAAATAAATTCAGTCCAATTTTTGTCCGTTTTGACGAATATTCACACGAGATAAATATGGGTTTTTTTCCTTCGATAACAACCAGGAAAACGATTGTTTATTTAAGAAAAACAGTCATGCAATTTCGACCGACAATTATACATTTCAGTGTTTTATTAGGGCCTTGTTGTTATCTCGTCCGGTTGCGAGATAACTTTCTCGCTTTTGTTACATGGGAATATATCGACACTTTCATTTTCGAATGACCGGCCTGAATTTTGTTGTTCACTAATGAAGCTTTGACATGCTTTTAGATAAATAACATAAAAACTAATTTGTTGACATTTATTAGTGTCAGGATTAATTGTTCGACGAGTTAGGAAAAGACTTTCACTATTATGCGGTCGAAAATCAATGAAAAGATGGGTAAAAAGGTCACAAGATAACCGACATGACGCAACAAGAATTTTCATTTAACATGGGTTTTTAAGCAAGAAATTCGTAATTTTTTCCTACAGAAGCGTGAAAATTTACGGTTTCTTAATTTTTATAAGATCTATTTTAATATTCAGTCTTAAAAAAATTAAAATCTTAATTCTGATTGGTTGATGGCGGTATTTTTGAATCACGTGACCCAATTTGACATTTAAAAAATTGTCATTGAGGACAATTTATGTTTCTAAATAAAAATACATATCTGACATTTCTATGTTTGTCCGATGAAAAACTTTCGATTTTTTTGTTTTTTGGTTGATTAATATTTCATTTTGAAATGTCATTGAGAAAATTTCAACAATTCATAAGAAAATGGATTTGAAAAAAAAGTAATTTTGACATTTTTGCAGCCATCCAAATAAATCTGTGCCTTTGAAAATAAATGGTCTAGACTGCTATAAAACCACTCAGTTATGCCATTTCCGACCAATCATGAAATTTGTGTAACTTTGAGTAAAACTTTCACGACTCCGAGTTCCATTTAGAATTCATGACATAATTCGAATAAAACGAATTTTTAAAGTTACGTAAATTTTATTTAAAAATGCAATTTGAATTACAAATACTCATAAAAGAAATTGTAAACCGAGTTGGTAAAGGTAAATGACAAAATTTCGGTACAATAAATGTCAAATATCGGGTTCAAGGTTTTTCCCAGTCGCGCAAATGTATTTTTTGCGGCACAATTAGGTTTATTATATCATTAATTTGCAGTAGTAAGAACTTGTTTATGGCGAGTTACAATAATAACCTTCGAAGTCGAGCAATAGTGAGATTAGATTTTTCCATTCTGAGTTTATTCTAATTTGGATGCTATCACGTCATTCTTATTTGCAAAGCAAACACCGGAATTTCCTTCACTCGGACAGGAAACCGCTCTCGTTTTTATTTTACTTTCTCAAAAGATTTTTTTAGTTGATTATTGGAAATTTCGGGCTGAGTTATGAGCAAAGCAAGACCCAAATGGCCATTTGGGCCATCCTGGCAGCCCCCTTGCTCATGTCGGTCGATTTGCGTTCGATCCGACCCGAGTACAAAGCCATTTTACAAAATAAAAAAATCATAGCCGTCGATCAAGATCCGTTGGGCATTCAAGGAAGGCGTATATACAAGGTGAACAACAAACCGTTGTAACTGTAAAACGTTTCGAAACGAGACATTTCAGCACAAAGGTATCGAAATTTGGTCGAGACCGATCACTCCTCTCTACCAGAATTATTTCTCTTATGCGATCGCATTTCTGAACAGGAGAACGGACGGAACGCCTTCAGATGTAGCGGTCACTCTTAAGGAATTGGGTTTAACGTCACCGACGGGCTATAGAGTCGAGGTAAGCGACATCTAGTTTTGTGCGAAGGCTGCAATTTCCTGTAATTTGCTTTCAGGATCTGTACGAAGATGTAGATTATGGAGTTTTGTCTTCGCAAACTAAAATCAAAGTGAAAGTTAACCCATCCGGTAAGTGGCCGCAAAACCCAACTAATTTTTTATTGACGTTTCGTGTTTTAGGTGTCGTAATTTTAAGAGCCGATGTACAAAACGATTTTAAAAGAAGAATTCCGTATTATACGACGCAACGAACGATTTATAATCCATTAAGTCAAGTTTTCAGAATACGAAATAACGGATTTTAATGTAAATACGACGTAAATTATAATAATTTTAGGTACAGGTTTATTACTTTTTTTAATTTAATTTAAAAAGTTCGAAATAAATTGTTAGTCCAAACTGGTTTTTATTTTTACCCCAAAATGCCATAATTCGATACAATCAGACTATTCATTTGTTCGGCTTTGGAAATAATAATTGAAAGGCATGTAGACACATTTTTTATTTTTATTTAGTTGAAAAATAAAATTACAAAATAATTATTAGTCCAAATTATAGTGATATTTATTTTTACCTAAAGTTATCGTCACTGATAAACCTCTCACATTTTTTTTGAGTCGTGAACAAACCAACGAGCCTTCAATTACATCACCTGAAAATATATTGTCATAAAAATTAAAACCAGTTATGTAAAATACCTGCACTCATATTTATTGTCTCTTTCAAATAAAAAACACTTTGTTGCCAGTGAGTTTTCGGCGCTTCAGGCCCCGTAGAAAAGTGAACACTTTTTGGTAAGTCAAAAAAAGTATCAAAATATCCTACCAAACACGTCAGAACCGCATTTTTATTTGCTTTCAAAACAAAAGACGAACTAAAATCACAAGTATCAACTGTACAATTTCTTAAATCGATTTCTTTCAGTATTATAGGATCAGTCATGACTTTATCCCCAGGTACAGTTTCAACAAAAGCTTCGGAAATGACTTCACTTTTCATGCATTTCATCGAAAATCCATAAACATTGTCCCAGAAATTAATCAATTTGTCGTAACGTTCTGAAATGATAAATCGGAAATTGCAGTTTCCTGTAAATACCTACATCGTAATACCGAGGTCAGAGCAGCCAATAAGATTCAAGTTGCACCTGTTTGGCAAAAGGAGGCCTCCGGGAGCTAAATAGCGATCTCTCGCGTGTATGAAACTGTCCAACATGCCTTCAAACAGCAAAAAATAACCCATCCATTCGGAGACAATTATGTCGACTTTTTCAGCTGGGAGATTAGTGTCCTCGATTCGGCCTTTCATCAAGTGGATTGTGTCGTAATAATTGTTTTCTCTGTTAAACAACAAAAATAAAGGTAATTACGAGTTTCAGCATTTTTTGCAATCCACCTGATTATGTCCATTGCTTTGTAAACAACTTCAGATTGGTCAATTCCAATGACTTTGGAAGCTCCAGCTTTGGCCGAAAACAGCGACAAAATTCCAGTACCACAACCCACGTCAAGAACAATGTTGTCTTTAAAACTTTCTGAATTATTTAAAATTGCGTCTCTGTAACTTTCCGTCCGGACCCTATCCTGTTTAAAACAACTAATAAATTATATTTAACTGGATAAGTAGTACCTACATTTAACATTTCATGATGAATACCAAAATGTGAATAAGAATTGAAATAATCGGAGTCATAACCGGTAATATGAAACGGCTTTTCAGGACCGTCCCTACCTTCTACAAATGTTCTAGTGATTTTTTTCATCTTCTCGATATCTTTTATCGCAAGTTCTAGTAGTGTGCATTTGTGTTTCAACTGAAACAATTTAATAAATCCTCAGATTATGCTAATATTTAATAAAATACTTGTAAATTCAAATCCTCAATTTGCCTCTGCAAATCTGAAAAATTTAAATTACTGATAGGAGTCTTGCCATCGATTGCATAATGAGGAGTCGAGGGGGCACTCCCCAGATCTTCAAAGTCTACAAAACAAACCTGAGCCTCTTTTGAAGCCCCCTATTAACAGACCTTACCATACATCAACCACGATTCCATTTCGCCCGTTTTCAAGTACACGTCATCGTCCCACAAAGCTACTGAAGACTCTGTTAAGATTTTAGGATCGGGTCTTTGCATTCGTATATAATTAATCATCTTAATGTATGAGTAACAATCCATGTTATATTTATTTTTTAACTCTAATAAATCAAAGTTGTGCTCAGCACGACAGTGATCTAATGCTACCGCTATTGTCAGGAATTGCAGGGGGCAAAAAAGACACGTCGTTTGCTCCCCTGCGACTTCCATTTCGTCCCATTCGTCCGAATCATCGTTTTCGTCCCTGCATGTGTCTTGAAGGGCTACACACTAGTCAAAAAACACATTACTGACCTTTGGTAATACTTACTCTCATCATCATCCATTGTTTCTTTGTTAAAACACTCGAGGGAGATTATAAACACAAACACGTGTAGAGCAACAGATTGAGGTTAGATCCACCCTTACCGTATTTTAACGCAAATTTTGGCACAATTCAGGGCTTTATGGTACGTTTATACGAAATTAAAGCTTTAAACTTGGATTTTAATGCTTGTAAATTGAAATTATTGATTAAATTGGTCGCGCCACGAATAAGAAAAGTACAAGCGCACGCCGATTTTGACACTTGACATCTATGCTTGACAGTAATTGTAATTTAAGGTTATATCCACACGTGGGGCAAATAAACACAAAATTTCTTTGAAAAAACATTATTAAGGCTTAATTTAGTGCGAAGAGTGTTTGTACCACGATGGGGCGTCATCGTAAGTATTTCTTACTTGTTATATAATTTGGGGTTATCTTGTTCTTTTAGCCCCCAAAAAACCGCAAAATGTTAAAATTTCGACGAAAGATAAACTGAAACAAATTAAAAAGGAACGTAAGTTGAAGTTGAAGGAGAAGAGGGCACGATTGGTTATCCGCAATTTGCCGTTTGAGGCCACTGAGGAAAATCTTAAGAAGCATTTTGAAAAGTTTGGGGAGGTTCAAGAAGTGAAGGTTTTGAAAAAAGAGGATGGGAAATTGGTCGGTTGCGGTTTTGTGCAATTTAAATTAGTACAGAAGGCTGCAAAGGCGCGACATCATTTAAATGGAAAACCCTTTCTAGGCCGAGAAATTGAAGTTGATTTTGCTTTGGCTAAGAATAAGTACAATAAAACTGAAGATAAGAATGAAATTAAAGAAGAAAATGAAGTGAAGATTAAGGAAGAGCCAGTAGATGTTGATGAGAGTCAGGAAGTCATTGAGGAAATAAAAAATGAAAGTGAGGATGAAGCTGCTGAGATTGAGGGTGAGTCTGAGCAAGATGAAAGTTTGAAACAGGAGAGTGACAGTGAAGAAAATGAAGAGTCATCAGAAGAAGAGGAAGAAGAACCACCTCTCAAAAAACCTAAATTTGAATCAAATGACGTAATTGAGGGAAAAACGATTTTTATAAAAAATGTGCCATTCACAGCCACTAATGACGATTTAAAACAATGTATGAGTCAATTTGGGCCCCTTTATTACGCATTAATTTGCATTGATAAGTACACGGAACATTCCAAAGGAACAGCTTTCGTTAAATTTAGAAATGCTGAGGACGCCCAAAAGGCACTTGAAGCGGGCACTGAATTGACTCTTCTTGGAAATGTTTTAGACTGTCATAGGGCTTTAGGTCGAGACGAGTTGCGGAAAAAGGTTGAAACGAAAAAAGAAGAAAAAATTGCTCCAAAAGACTCGAGAAATTTGTATTTAGTCAAAGAAGGAGGTTGGTATATTAATTAATTGTATTAATATGGGTTTGTAACTGTTTTTGTTGCAGTTATTTTAGCCGGAAACAAGGCCGCTGAAGGTGTCTCATCGAGTGATATGGCAAAACGGCTCCAGTTAGAACAATACAAAACTCAAATGTTGCGAAATTTAAATATGTTTGTTTCGCGAGAACGCTTAGTTATTCATAATTTACCACCCAGTTGGGATGATAAAAAGTTACACATATTGGTTAAAAATAATAGTCCGAAAAATTCGGTAATTCGTGAGGCGAGAATTATGCGCGATTTAAAAAATGTCGACGCTAACGGAGTCGGACGATCAAAAGAATTTGGTTTTGTCACTTTTAACCGACATGAAGACGCCTTAGCCACTCTCAGAGCATTGAATAACAATCCGAATATTTTTTCGTCTCATAAAAGGCCAATTGTCGCCTTTTCTATTGAAAATCGGGCAATGATTAAAGCGAAACAAAATCGACTCGAAAAATCGCGTCTCAAAAATCCTAAGTGTAAACAGTTTGATCCTAAAGTGGTCAAAGAGGACCAGGAGAAGAAACAGAAACGTTTAAATGAGACAGAAGATATTGAGGGCGATTTTGTTGGGGTCACAGCCAAACCGGGCAAACAAAAAATGCGAAGCAAATATAATCTAAAAACGCAGGCAAGACTTCATATGGAGAATTTGAAAAAAGAAAAGAAGAAAGCAAAGTTTGCAAAGAAGACTCTCAAGGACAAGAAACAAGATTTTACAAAACAACCTAAACAAAAAATTAATAAAAAGAAAGAAAATGATAGTTTTTCGAAGATGGTTTCTGATTATAAAAAGAAACTTCTAGCTAAGCCTATAGTGAAGAAAACAAAGTGGTACGAATAAACATTGTGATTGTTGTAAATTTTTCTTAATAAAAAAAACATGTTACGCCACTGGTTTCTTTCACGCTAGTTTCCAAGTCTACCACATTCGCGCTGCCATCGCGCGGCCACGTAAGATTGACAATAATGACAACCAGAAATTGTCTCGTAAAGAAATTATTGTTGAATTTTGATAAAAACGCTACGAATTGAATAGAAAATAGTCAATGAATCCATTGTGAGTATTACATATTGCATTTTGGTAGTGTTTGTGACAATGTGAATGGTTCTTTTGTGCCAAAAAATGCAAATATTGTTCTAAATTCGGTTCAAAGGTTGCATGTTTATAGCTGTGTTCATTTTCAATTAAATTCGGGTGTACCCAGTGTATGTGAACGTGGGGTATGTGTTTTTCTCAATTTTGTAACTTTTTAACCTAATTTTTGTCGAGTTTTTCTCGTCGCTCTACTCACCTTGACACTGTTCCAAATCTTGGTCACATATAAAATATTAATTAAGTATTGGCTTTTTTTGTCTGGTTTGTTTAATAACACACGTGCGTTTGTTTTCCCTCTAGAAATTAAACAAAATGGCTCAACCAAATCAGCAAAACGGAATGCCCCCTCAAATGAAGCCCCCAATCTACAATGGAGTTCATTCATCGCATTCGTCACGTGATTCTTCCCCCCATGGAAAAAATATACCCATTTCGCAGCTGCCTCCACGCTCCGCCATCCCCCCAACACAACTACCACCATCTAGATCCCCTAATATATCTCAACAAATGAATCAACTCAACATCAATAAATTTAACACTTCAACACCCAATCAATCACCGAAGCCAAGTGGTGTAGTCAACAGTGCGTTTTCAACAATTGGAAGTACCCAAGCTCCACCCAGGACCACGCAAGCCCCACCCACCGGTTACAACTTTAACCAAAAGCCGCCAAGTAGTAGTCAAGGCTTTGCTCCGCCCACGGCGCAAACTCAAGGACATGTACCAACACAAGGTTATCAAACACCACCAACGCAAGGTCAAATGCCAGTAATTAACAAACAAGGTCACCAACAGCCTGTACCCCAAACCCAAATGCCGCCATTTAGCAACCAAGGTCGTCAGAACCCACCGACAATACAAAATCAAGGTCAGGCTCCGCTCCCAACACAAAGCAAAATACCGCCGCCAATTAAAAATCAAAGTTTTGTTCCACCCCCACACAATTTTAATTCAAGTCCGATTAATCAAGGTGTGGCGCCGCCCCTAACGCAAGGCCAAAATCAGGTTCAAGCCCCGTCTTCACAGAATTTTAATTCAATTCCGCCTAATCAAGGTTTGCAACCACCCCCAACGCAAGGCCAAATACCACCTCCAAATAGCCAAATTCCCCAATATAATAATTTTAATTCAAGTCCTAGTAATCAAGGGTATCGACCACCCCCAGCCCAAGCGCAAATGCCGCCACCTCTAAAGAGTCAAGCCTACCAACCGTCTCCGACTGAAAATAATTTGCCTTCAAACCAATTTAACAATTCAAGTCCAAGACCTCCTCCGGGACAACCCAAGGCCAATTTGCACTCGAACAGATATCCACAAGCTCCGCCCTCTCAGCAAAATTATGTTCCCCAAGCCCAGCCTAGTTTCAATCCTCCATCACAAAATTACCCTGTCTCATCACAGACTCAGCAACAGTTTTACCAACAAAACAGCGTGACTAATTCTGGTTTTAATAAATTATGGGGCCACGACCACTTCGATCTTCTTCAAAACCCGAACGTTCTACCCCCAGAAAAAGTGGCGCCACCTAAAGTCTACTTGGGAAACGAGCTTCTTGATTCGGCGAATTGCAGTCCAGATGTATTCCGATGTACGATGACGAAAATACCCGAAAGCAATTCTCTATTGCAGAAGTCTCGTCTACCGTTAGGAATCTTGATTCATCCCTTCAAAGACTTGACCCATCTGCCGGTAATTCAGTGTAATGTCATCGTGAGATGTCGCGCTTGTCGCACATATATCAATCCTTTTGTTTATTTTATCGATACGAAGAGGTGGAAATGTAATTTGTGTTATCGAGTGAATGAATTGCCGGAAGAATTTCAGTTTGATCCGGTTAGTAAAACGTACGGAGACCCTACAAGAAGACCGGAGATCAAATCGAGTACTATTGAGTACATAGCGCCAGCCGAATACATGTTGAGGCCTCCGCAACCCGCCGTTTATTTGTTCTTGTTTGATATTTCTCGGCTTGCTATCGAGAGTGGTTACTTGCAAAGCGCATGTGCTGTACTTTTGGAAGAATTAAAGAATTTACCAGGAGATGCTCGTACACAAGTCGGCATACTTGCCTATGACTCTGCTTTACATTTCTTTGGGTTAGGAGAAGGATTGAGTCAACCTCACGAAATGACTGTGCTTGAAATCGACGACATTTTTTTGCCTTGTCCAGACAACCTCCTGGTGAATTTAAAAGACCGAATTGATTTACTTACCGACCTATTGACCCAACTACCCACTCGTTACAACAACAGTTACGACAATAATTCTGCGTTGGGGGCTGCGCTACAAGCCGCACATAAGATGATGGGGGCGACCGGAGGTCGCGTTAGTGTCTTTCAAGCTTCGTTGCCTAACGTCGGTCCCGGAGCTTTGATTCCGAGAGAGGATCCCTCGCAGAGAGCTTCAACCGAAGTCCAGCACTTAAACCCAGCAAATGACTTTTACAAAAGGTTGGCTTTGGAGTGTAGCGGGCAACAAATCGCTGTTGATTTGTTCGTACTAAACTCACAGTATGTCGACATGGCGACTATATCAGGGATTAGCCGATTTAGTGGAGGATGTATCTACCATTTCCCACTGTTTAAAGCTTCAAGGGTGTTACAAAACGAGAGGTTCGAACGTTCTTTCCGCCGGTATTTGATAAGGAAGATCGGGTTTGAGGCTGTGATGCGTATTCGGTGTACTCGTGGATTATCAATTCATACGTTCCATGGTAACTTTTTTGTGCGTTCCACTGATTTGTTATCACTACCGAATGTTAGTCCTGACGCTGCGTTTGGGATGCAAGTCTCAATTGATGAGAGCTTGTCGGATGTCCAATCGGTTTGCTTCCAAGCGGCTCTTTTGTATACTTCGAGTAAGGGAGAACGGAGGATAAGGGTACATACTTTGTGTCTGCCGGTATGTGCGACCTTATCCGATGTTATCAATGCGGCCGATCAGCAGTGTATCGTGGGATTGTTGGCCAAGATGGCCGTGGATAGGTCGATGCAATCTAGTCTTTCGGATGCACGAGAAGCGTTCATAAACGTGGCCATAGATATACTTTCGAGTTACAAGTTTTCGCTAAATATGGCCGAAGGAGCGACTTCGTTACTAGCGCCTCACTGTTTGCGGTTATTGCCTTTGTACATTTCGGCCTTATTGAAATCAACGGCTTTTCGAACCGGTACTTGTACCCGATTGGACGATCGAGTCAAAGCAATGATCGATATGAAGACTAAGCCTTTAGGACAGTTGATACAAATGATATATCCGGATTTGTATCCAGTACATAATTTGGACGAACAACCAGTAGTCCTAAATAGTGAAGAGGAACCAATCCCACAACCACCTCACATGCAACTAACTGCGAGGTGTTTAGACTCCAAGGGTGCATTTCTTATGGATACTGGGGAGCATATGATTCTTTTAGTCGCTCCTGGAGTTTCTTCAGTATTCCTAAATGAGGCACTAGGTGTCAGGGATTACGTATCAATCACTGATGAGATGTACGAATTGCCCGTTTTGGATAATTTACATAACCAAAGACTGCATCAATTTATACATTTTTTGAACGACGAGAAACCAGCAGCAGCTACGTTGCATGTCATTAGAGATAATAGTCCGAATAGAATAGAATTCTACGAAAAATTAATCGAAGATAGGGTAGAGAATGCACTGAGTTATCACGAGTTTATGCAACATCTCAAAACTCAAGTTAAATGAAAAAAGGGGTTGATTTATATTGATGCAAAATTGTTGCTCAAAAACGGGGGTAGGAGTCTAACGCGTCTAAGGTTTTATTTTTAAGGTTGACTTTATTTTGATATTTATATATTGTGATATGTATCTTTATATTCACATAAAATGTATAGCAATATTTTTGCATTAATCTCATGCTTTGTTTATTGTACGCTGTTAAAACTCATCGTTTCATTATTATGTTTTCATGTCTATCGATTCATTCACTGTTATTAGGTTCAGTCGCGTTATTTTGTCCTACAGGTGTATGAAATTGTCTGTTGATACCAATATAAGTTGTAAAAATAAATAAATATGTATATAATGTACCAAACGTTTTATTTATTACCTTTAAAACTGAAAAAAAGGATATGAAATGTTTTATGTTTTTCTTGTATGAAAGTAATCTTGAGAAAAAATGGGCAACTGTAATTAAATGAAGAAGAACAATAAACAATTGTGATTATTTAACCGTATTAAATCATAAATAACTAAAATACTTTATCATTTTAGTAGTAATGCTTGTTGCTTCTTATCATAGTGTGTTATTGACTTGGTCGACTGTAGGTTTCGCTCTTGTGCGCACCTATCAGCCAGAGTTAGCTTTTATGTGTTTCCTTCAACCTAATTTATTTATTTGTCTGTGTGTCAAAAACAATTATCCATATTTTAAACAAATACTGAGGAATACTCAATGAAATAGCTGAAAATAAGATGTCTGTAGTGTAATTATGTGTTTTTAAGTGTTTTTTTTTATCCCGGTGGCAATTAAGGTAAATCGATATTTGGAGATTGGAAATTAGCATTCACCAGTTATGTCTTTTACAGTTACCTCATAAAAAATGTCCCTCACAATTCAACAAATAATCACCGATGCGAAACGCCTCGCAGGTCGTTTGAAAGAACGCGATACAATTGCTGATACTTTGTTAAATGAGACGAACGCAATAACGAAAAAAATTGATGCAATGAAACAGTTTCAAGAAGAAGTTGATGTGTTAAATGAGGTAGCCAACCAAAAGCCACATTCCCAATTAATTGCGAATATACAGAAAGAGAATAGACACTTGAGGGAGATTCAGCAGGAGAATAGAGAGTTGAGGGCAGCTTTAGAGGATTATCAAACAACACTTGAACATATTATGACCAAATATAGGGAGCACACAACTGAAGAAATTTACAAGACTAGAATAGACTTCAAGGCGTTGCAAGATAAACAATATGATGAGCTAATTAAACATCAGGCGGATAAAATACATGAAATGGCTGCTGTTATGGAACAGGCTGCCCTCATTGATGAGACTAGAATCGTGTGCAATGAGGAAGTAATCGCAAGGCTTAAGTCCGAGAATAAGGTTTTTTCATCGTATAATAGTTGACTAATTAGTGTAACGATTTTTTCAGGGTTTAAGAGAGATGTTAGGTATTGCATTTAAACACGGCAATTTAATTAATAAAATGGAAGACAAGACCATCCAAACTGACACCTCAACTTAAATTATCCTATCAATTTTATCCACGTTTTGTTTTACTTGTGTTTATATACTTTTGCACTGTTAATAAAATTAACATTAATCAATGAATTTTTTATTTAAAAAAACATTTACAACAAATAACTTATTACATTCTAGAGGTAGTGTATTCCTCAGGGAACTTAAAAGAGTGTGACCCATGTGCAAAAATATTAGGTAATAGTCCAGCGTTAGGTATAATATTCCAGGATAGGGTCAAAGTGATATTTTTGTTTGCTTTGAGACCATTCCCATCATCCCAGAAGTAATATTTGGTGTTAATATTCTTGAAGTCAAGGACCGCATTCTCGCCACGTAAAATAATCTTGTCCCACAGTACAACCTGAAAATTGCATGTTAATTTACCACGAAGACACTCTCAACTCCAAACCTGATTCAATTTATTGTTTGAACTCTCATACTCAGCAGTAAGATACAAAAACAGCTGTTTCACATTCCAGTTGAAAAGATGAGTCAAATTGGTCTGGAGATCAAAAGTAAGGAATCCCAAATCATTCTTTTCCCTCGAGGCGCTATAATCCGGCACGTTTTTCCTACAAATAATCAATTACAACCGAATCATTGCTTAATTCGGCTACTTACACAACGACTTTAACTGTATTCATCGATGCATTAGTGCGGTAATCGAGAAATACGGTCGAGATGAAACAAGCAAAAGTCAGGCAAGCAAGAACGCTGAGAGCGTACGCCAAAATCGCGTTTCCGCGTTGTAAAACTGAATGCATTCTGCGGAAATATGGTTTTACACGTAATTATTTATTTTCTAACCTAAATTTATGACAACTGACACGTAAATCGAATTGTGGGGTGCCAACTAGACAGAAATTAAAACGAAAGTTTCTACGTTAGCTGAGTGCTTCGTGGAAAGATGGCGCCAGAAAACTGAATTTGTTAGAGACCCTAGAAACTAGAGTCTCTAAATTTCGTTGGTTGCACTGCATGACGCGCAGCCTGACGGGCAAATAGCGTATAATGGTTTAGAATTTATTTTTTGAGTATTACTCGTGATTTATGTCTTTGGACTATTCTATACTGGCGGACACGTAAATTTGAACGATTTGTCATTAGACTGACATAAAAATGTAAACCGGGCAATAGAGCGTGACTTACATTGACATTTTTTGAAGTGACATAAATTTGATGTCAAAAATTCCGCTCCGCCACTGTATTACCAATCTAATATCATTTTTTACAAGTACCTACAATTCTATTTGTTCTGTGGTCCAAATTAAAGGCACGGATTAAATCTAAACGTCAAGCATTTTTGTTCAATAAAAGTAATGCACAGTCGAGTATCTACAAAATATTTTGGTTGTCAATGTCACTAAAAAAATATTCTGTGTCAAAAATTTAGCAATTTACTCTTTGTGATTCATTTTTCTGTCTCAAAAAGTCAAAAATAGTTTAAACTTCCTTTGGCTTTTTAATTATTATCGCTTACATTGTGCCACAATTTCAAATTATATAACAGTAAGTTTGTCAAAAAATAACATTTACATTGCACGCAACTGTAAGTACAGTTAAATAATATAGTAGCGGATACGCAATTTTGCACATCGAAAATTATGTCAGTTCAAAAAAATGTCAATGTAAGCACACTTTATTGTCATTATGATTGACGTTTGAAACTAAAATTTGAAGTGTATGCAAAAAACGCAAATTGTTTTTTTTTATAATGTAATTTGGCCTGTTAATAAATGCCAGTTTTTTGACGTTGTCTTTGTCGCAATACACAATTTCATAATTGTCAGGCATCTTTCACTTCTATCACATTTTTCCGTGTTTTTCCATTTCGTTTTTAACACTGACTATGACACTGCACTGGTAAGACAACTAAATAAGACATTTCTTTTGATAGTTTTCTAACCTTTTTGGGAACAACCTGTTTCACACTATGTAAATCTCTGAAAAATTTGACAATTTGTTTTTGACAGTTTTTTTGCACTCAAGTGTACCTACCTAGTGCCATAGCTATCGCCACATTGGCAACGTCGCAACTGTGCTTTTTTTAGATAAAATAGGTGACAAACATTTGATTTTTGTGTAAAAGAAAAATGTACAACTGAAATTTACTGAAAATTTTAGAGCCACAAACTTCATTATTTCATACAGAAAAAATATTATTTTTGTAAATACTTAATGAAAGTATTTTTTTATATTAACTGAAACTTGTGTTTTAGTAATTTACGTTCTAATTACTAATTAAGGAACAAATTATTAGACTTTAGACGTTTTTTCAAACTCACACTTCATGTATGTACTGATGAAGAAATTGTGTTCTAATACTCTTTGTTTAAATTCAAAATTGCTTTTGGTTGATTATGGCAATAGCTTCTATCCATCAAACTAACCCGCAATTCCGATTTTTCCGCAATCTAATGTTGCCTAAAATATTAGTATAGGACCAGAATCCACGTATACCGTCCTTTATCTAACCCGATAGTGCTTGATTTAGTTTTGTTTGTTTTACTGTGAAATTGTACATAATGTAGCACTATTAGTTGCTAAAACTATGTTGGCCACACCGTACTTTTTATGGCATTTAAACATTCAATTTTTCAAATTATGTCAATAATTTATTTCTATACTTAAATGGATGAAAAAATAATTTATGAATGTCATGCTGGAATCATTCGTTACTCTTTATGTACCGGTGACAGTCACTATTAGTTTCATTGAATTTGCCTACCATTTATTTAGATTACGTACCTGCACTCAAACAAATAAAATAAATTGCCTAGGTAAATGTGTGTAAATTATTCACTGATTGGGTATCTCTTTTATCTTATCCCATATCCTTCGATTCTTATCAAATTTCTTATCAGAAATTTTTGATGAATGACAGAAACGCAATTATGAAACTTCTCGCGATTTTTTGTGCCTCTTTTACGTATTTTATTTCTGTAATTTGTAAGTAGAATTTTCAAATTTTGCATCTTGTTGATAAAAGTTTTGGTAGCTCAAACTACTATAACTCCAAACACAAACAATGATACAGTTTTAAATCCCGATGCGTCTTATTGTTTTGAATTTACATGGATTGGGCCTGGTTACGACGAGAATTACATGTATAATGGTACTTGTACCGACTATTTAGATGAAACTAGGGCTAAACATGTACCTTGCAGTCCTCCTATTGTAGTTTCAGGTAATTTTTGAATAATATACTGAGTATCATTTATATGGTATTGCATTTTTAATGTTGCTCTCTATGTTTGAACAACATATTGATATTGTTGGACTATTTCAGACGATGGGACTTTCCCCGACATTGATTGGATGTTTGAAAATAAAAAAACTAGTGTTTTGTGTCGCCGAACTGCTAACCAGGTGTGTGCAACTTACACGTATAAGTATGACGGTGTAGGTAAGTAAAAATCATCTAGTTTTGGGTATTTGCAGTCTCATTTGTTTTTAGTAAATAATGCAACTTACATGTGTACAAAGGTACAACAAATAGGAGGAAGTGCAATAACTTCCGGTTGTTATACTCAGACTATCGCAGGCTATGAAGTAGAACTATGCGTTTGTAAATCAAATCCGGGCCTTTGGAAGCCATGTAATGGCAATTTTTAGTTGACTTCTAGTTCTTGAATAAAGTGATTCGTTTTATTTGCGATCTAATATTTTTTGAAAAGTCCTACTTGTGTACCCACGTGAATGGAAAATGTGTAAAAGCCGGCTTATAAACTCAATCAGTCGTGTGAGTAGTTCCCTTTAGAAATCATGCTTTTTGATATTTCATGATAAGCGTGGAAGCTCTCTTTTACTCGAGGGAATAAGGCCACCCCCTTAAAACCGCACAAGCGAATACAAACCGGTGCACAAGCCACAGGAATACTCTCTGCTCTTTTATTTTGCAAAATACGCCCGAGAGACTCAACTTTTAATGCACGAAGAACGACTATGAATAACAAAATAAGATAATATAATTTGCTCTTTTTATTGCTTTGATACATTCAACCGACAACGGGACGATATAAGTCCATGGCGTTCTTTGCATTCTTTTATGACGGTGGTGGGGCACTTAAGCACGCCACTGTAGCGCTATTTACGGGAATTTTGACCTCAGATGTGGGGTGGAATTCCCCCGAAACACAGACACAAAAACAAAAAAATAACAACAGACAAGATCATTCATTTAAGAGCTGAAGTCACAGTGCTTTAATAACCTGATTCAAATATTTATTTTAGACGATAAAATCTTTTGCAAAAAAGTACCTTGAAGCGCACCGGTCTTGTCAATCACGTTCTATAGTACCTATGTCTCTTCAAAAAGGTTCAATTATGGCAAGGTTCGCATTATCGTGCGTATTATTGTTCGAATCGTCTGTCCAATCATATGATGACATTTTAATAGAACCTTGATAAATCAGGCCGTGTTCATATTGATCTTCAATCAGAGTGCAATTATGTAGATGTCAGAATTCCACCTTTGCAAAGACAATAATGATAGTACTTAGTCTAGAAATTTAAATTAAGAGTTGAACTTAGGTGTGACCCGGGCACGACGAGGCCATTAGAATAATAAAACAGTGTGATAAACTCTCAATCATTTCAACCTACGTTTTAAGGAACGAAAGAAAAAATAATTCACAATATGAGGAAGTGTCACGTCGCTCAAATCCTGAATCGATTTTTCCTAGAGACTACTTTTCTTTGCCCTTGACTGGCTTTCAAACGGGGGCTAAATATTGTGGTGTGGTTGAAAAATTCAAACATGCCGACGTTGGTTCAATGATATCCAGGTATCAATTATTAACACGATATTAACACTGTATTTACTTTATTTTATCAATATAACTGTCAACTTGGAGAGATTATGATAGTCATAAAGATAAATAACTCCCTCGAGGTATACATAACCCACACGTAGACGTAGAAAGAAGACAACTTTTACATTTCAACTAATTAATTTATTGTTTCATTTTGTACCGTGTTCTGACTTTTTTAAAATAAATGTAAAATGTTTGATCTTTGTGAAATTCAGGAGGAAAAATTACATCCATAAACAGAGCTGTACTGGGTAACTTGGTCCCAGAGGCCCAATTCTGATATACTCGGACATACAGAGTAATTTATATCACCAGTAAAATATAAAAATTGAATTTCAGAAACTAATAAGTAAAGAATATAGGAGTAATAAAAATTTGATATAAGCTTTAAATTTTCTGATCAAAATCATGCTTTGATTTAAATTCTAACATTTTTAGAATGCACTTCTAATAATAGAAGCAGATTTTTGGACGTTGGTAACTAAGGCTCTGGTTTTTTGTTTGCTATAATTTTGACACTATATTTGTTTATTTTATAGGAGTAGTATTTTTTAATTGATTTTATCAGTTATTTAATTTGGTTCCCAACATTTTCAAGTTTTTAAGTATTTTTTGCTTTATATCAAAATTCGCGTGACAATAATCATTAAAACAAAGCGCTTGTCATTAGCACCTGGAAATTCGCACCTCCCAAAAATATCACATAATATTCCTCATTTTATTAGTCCCTCACGTGTCGTAAAATTCAACATAAAAAAATGGTGCATATGTACCATCACCGAGATCGTGTCATAATAAAGAACTTAACAATTGCTACTCCTACTGTGAGGCAATAATGGAAAGGAACTGGAACAAGATACATCTTCGCAACATCTTGTGAGACAATAGTAAAAATCGAGGCTTTATGGGCTTCAATATGTCTACATGCAATGTCTTACGATGACATAAATTTAAAAACACACATGATTACCTACTATAACCGACTCGTGACTCATCCCACTCTCATCTAACCTTCAATAAGAAGAAAAACTATAATTTTTTATTTTACACCTACCAAAAATAGAAGCATTTATAAACTATGATTTGATGCAAACGACTGAAGCGTTGCGAGGGGTTCAAGGCTTTTTACGTTATAATACAAAGATCCCTTTCTTTTTCTAATCAAGTAAATAAGAAAGATTGAAGCAAATAAAAATTTCTCGATCTGGGCAACTCGTGCCAACGTGAAAATGTCCCACGATAGATGTGTGTAATTTCCGCATTTAAGCAATCTTCTCTTTTTCGTGCTTATCTCCAATTGCTGAAATAGTGTGAAGTATTTCAACTTTTGTTAAACATCAGTGATTTATTTTTGTAGTGTCGGTATTACCTCGGCGTTAAATTAATGAAGTTAGGTTTGAATGTCTGGCAGTCACACTTATTTCAGCACACAAAGAATCCGGAATATTGTGCTACGAGCCGAGAGACTCCCGGTATTTGCATAATATCACTATATGCATACCATTTTGCAGCGAGATTTACATACGTTTTTAGATGTCGTAATCACGCTCAGGGTGACTCTTTCAGCTCCCCGGGACTTAATTTTCAACGCACAAGCAAATTTTTGCTTAAACTAACTTTAATGTCGTGCACGACGTATTAATTCCCCGTTCGGTTGTTCGAATCTCGTTCAATCCTATTTTCGCATCAAACTCTAATTCAAAGAGCGAATTGCTCTTAAATGGGCTTTGATGTATTGACATTAAGTCTCTCGACGCAAACTTTACATCGTTCCCAGACTCCCACAACAAAAATTTCCACGATGCCAACCTTTAATATTTGATTAAAGGACACCCAAACTACACCGCCGACTCACGAGGGTTCATTGATCTGCCCTTATTTTATGGAGCCATGGAAACGCTCTCACGGCCCCCAAGACATACATTCGCCCTTTACGTCTGCAGATACACACATCTACACACCGATAAAAAGTTTTACTATTTTAATTCGACTTTATCCCGAATATAAACGACCTTTTCCAAAAATTTGCAATAAAGGCACAATGACAGCGTTTTAAGAGTACATCGGTTGTTTAAAATTTAATGTATCAAAGACAAATAGAAGTAGTACTTTCTAAAAAGCATTTTTTTTTGCTTTTTAACCCCCTACACATAAAAATCCTTTTCCGTTTTTCTCTATCCTACTCGCTGCCAGTGGCGCAGCAAGGAGGGGGTTTTGGGGGTTAAAACTAATAAATAATAAAACTGAAATTATACACTGGTGGACACAGAATTTTGGACGATTTGTTATTCGAGTACATAAAAATGTAAAACGGTCCTTAGGCAACTAACCCCACTTTCGGTTTTTGTAATTTTTATCCTGATAGCTAGAGAAAAAATGATAACAAATCAAAATAATTTATTCAACTTATATAAAAACACGTATTGCTGGCATTATTGTTTCGGAAAATCGACGTCAAACAATCAAGATTTTCAAATTTTAGTTTCAAACGTCAATCGTAATGACAATAAAGCGTGACTTACATTGACATTTTTTGAACTTACATAAATTTGATGTCCAAAATTTCGTGTCCGCCAGTGTATTTTAGAAACACCAAAATTAACAACATTTGAATTTTGTATACAATTATTTTCGATGTTGTCACAACTTCAGAAGATTCACAAATTTTTACTTTTTTCATTTTGTAAATTGTACCAAAACTGTATAATGTTTTTATGTATGTAGAATGTTCCGAGAAATCGATTGACGTCAAGAAAATTGTAAAATTCTTGATCGTTCAGAAGTTATAGTTGAATTAATATTTTGAATATTTTTAACTGTATCAGCAATTTTTTCGACAACTATTTAACGTAGGATAATTAACTTTTTTCATTCATATATGATAAAAATTTAAATTTGCTTTCCAACGGGTTCAAACCAAAAGGACTTGCGTCAATAATTAAGAAGTTATTAACAATAAAGTGCTTCAGGTACTATTGAATTCATAAAAAAAACTAGTACAGCAAAATTTTGTTGGAGTATATTCGGCTACGTGAAAATGTCAAATATTAACGTCTGTCATTATGCCAATTTATTTATTTTTAATTTTTAAAGCACTAAATTCTCACGTATGTTTTGAAAAAGCCACTAAATTGCAAATAAATGGTAGACTAACTATCACAGACGTATTCAGGCTGTCTAGTTGATCTGTTGAAATTAGTAACCAGTTAACATAAAGTACACACTACAAAATTTTTGAAAAGTTGACGTAACTGCGACGTTTTGCTGTCCTAGTTTTTTATGTATCTCCTTAAGATTTTGACAAAAATTGAAAATTGAAAACTTTAAAATTACCATTTGCGCTCAAGAAAGTTAGGAAAGTAAAAAACGTTGAAAAAATGCAAAGGCAAAAAATACATTTTTGAAAAATTTTGTGTAAGTCTGTATGAATATATTGACTTAAAACATGAGACTGTCAGCGGCGGTGGTGGCTCAGCGGCATAAGGTCCCGCTTTCCAGCAAGTAGGTCCGGGTCCGATTCCCGGTAAAAAGTGAGCAATTTTTCACAAATTCAAACTCAAATACTTATTTAAATACTAATTTAAATAAGCAAATAAATGAAAAGATGAGAGTACTAGAGCTTGAAAACATGCATAAGTGTACTAATGAAATAGATATAAGTATATGGACAGTTGGTGGACAAAAAACTGGAACAATCAAAAGTTTTTACGTTTTAAAATAAAAGCATAATAAAAGTGACTTTTCTGTCAATGTTGAGAGTTATCTTGTCAGTTCAAATGCCGAATCTAACTGAATTCCAAAAACACCTAGTTAGACAACGCCTTGGTGAGGGTATTA